AACAGATCTCCCTATGACTATCTCTCCCTCCCACCCTTACTCACTCTCCCCTGTCACTTACTCTTACTTACTTCCCTCCCTCCTTCCCTCCCTCCTTCCCTCCCTCCCTCTCTCCCTCCCCCTTCTCCCTACCCCTCCACCTCAGCCCTCCCACTGCCAATGCCTCCTCCCTCCACCAACCCTCTCCCTACTTCCCTCCTTGCCTATAGTGAACTCACCATGCCAGATGTAGCCATGAGCATCCCAAAGGAGTGATATCAGGTAGCGCCCACTCGCCCAAGGGTCACGGTGTAGTGTTTCATTCAGGACATTGTACACTTTTTTTCTGAAAGATAAATTCTTGTCTATTATCAATGTCATTATAGCTGTAAGTAAAAAGACACTTTCCATAACTGTTTCCACACTAAAGTCTTGTGGAAAAGGTATTTCTTTTACCTTATTGTATCATAACAGTGATACACATTACTATTTATTAATTAAATGTTCAGATACTTCATACATGGTGTTTATACAAAACCTTACTAAATATTGTTTATTTAAACCAACAGTAATGATCAGGACACAAAATTCAAAAGATATAGAGCTTATGCAGACTCTATATAACACAAAATAGTGTTTGAATATGAGTTAAGAGATATTAACACTCTTAACCTGGGATTTCACTATCTAATCACAAAAGAAAGAGACTGAAGGAAAGAATAAAATACAACATAAACAAGAAACAGTATGATGAGAGGAGCAAGAAGTTACAATTGTCGCCTGGAGGTTACTGCTGTGGCTGGGTACCACAGCTGGTCAGGACTAAGCTCAGCCGAGTCAGCACCATGCTGACACACGTTACCGAGTCAGCATTAGTCGACACAGGCCGGCTCCCCTCATGCGCATAGCCCGGGCGAGGCTAAGCTACGCATATCGGACTTATCCTTAGTATGATGAATGAGAAAATATCAGTATGGTATAGTTTTACTACACCATATCTGGGATCAGACTCAAGTCAGTGGCATCTGGGGAGTAAGGCAAGACAGACCCAGAGAATTCCTTGTCCATATCCTGCCAATGCTTTTCTGGGCAATGAGGATTGATAATCAAGGATTGTTTTAGAAATGTGCCAAGTAACATTGTGTCATCATAACATCACAAAAAATCCCTGGAAGGCCTGGGGAAGCACATTTACAGTACAAACAAAATTGGAGGCTAGGTGATAGATCAGGGACCAGAACAGAGTCTTGGTAGTAGGACCCGGGCTCATTTTCATGGTTCTCAATATTACTGCAGTCTTTTATCTATGTTATGGCACTACTATCCTACTGATAACAGCATGATTTGTGGCACTCAGCTGGTACTGTGCCTGTTACCGTGTGAGCAGCAGGTGTGGAAAGAGTTTGGATGATAAGGCCAATTAAAGGGGGTGGAGATGTTTTTCTTTTTCACTAGTTAACATCTGGGTTTCATTTTTTCTTTCTTATTCTTTTACAAAACATGCTTCAAAAACAATTTAAAAATCAACCAAATTTTTGGGATCAGCACCTCACATTAGTCAACTTATTTCTACAACTTCTTCAACGTCTTCCTCTTTCTCTTTCTTTTCCTCTTCCTCCTCCTCCTCCTCCTTTTTCTTGACCTAATAATGTTTCTCTCTCCTCACCCCCACTCCCTTCTCTTTTTTCTACTCTCCCTCTTTCTCTTTCCGTCTCTCTTTTAATCTCCCCTCATCTATTTTATCTCTTCTGTAGTGCCATTTTATCAGTGGCCAAGAAAAAAATACACATATATGTCATTATAGAATCATATAACAAAGAAGGAAGAGAGGTCAATTAATCATTAGTTAACATTAAATAAGGTTGGACTGAATAAGCAAATATTGATTGTATCCATTGTCAGATAAGACTTTTAGAAGCAAAAAATATCCTTTCATTCATTAACCTAAAACATACGGCACAAACAATTAATTTCCCCCTCAACTATTGCCCAATAGTTGAAGTTTCAAGAGTACGAATTCCATCTCCATTTCTTAAATTGAAGACTGAAGAGTGTCTTTTCAATTTCTTAAGGTTTCCTTTTCAGATTGTTTTTCATAAATATTTCATAGCAATTCTTAAAGAGATGAAAATGCTAATTTCAATAGTATCACAGACACATGATTTTAATTTCTTCTCACAGCACATGTATTTGCAAGCAATTACAAGCAGACTCCAGACCTTATACTTTATAACATTTAAAAACTGAATCATAAAGTTCTAAACAAGTATCCACTTTGCAACATAAAAAAAATGTATGGAGATACCATACACTTCACTCATCTTATTTTTGTGTCCAAAACATAACCATAGGCTGCAAATTTTGTAAATAATAAAATGAAACTTTCCTTATTACCTAAAGGCACATTACAATCATTTTGTGCTCACAGTAGATAATTTTAATGAGCAAGCAAACAGATGCCGCTCACAGGAGGTTCTCAATACTTTGTGTTGTTGTTAAACTCCTTGAAAGAATCTAGACATAAAATCGGAAAATCTAAACTACTGAAAATACTTAAACCAAAAATCATGAACACCCAAAAATATGACTCAAACATATGCCATGTATGTACCACTAGCAATCTAGAAGTTAATGATAGTAACTTTTAATAATATAATAACTGAGTTATATTCCATTCATTACAACGGTTATTCCTGCTATAACAGGCTGTCCATATCATTTTACTTCTAAATTATCCTGTGTGCATGGAATGGCTGGAGTAACCATCCACTGGCAATGCACGGGAATTTAACATGTGTCTGCAAGATTGCTAGACAAGACTCCTACTGCTGCACCGCACAGCACACATTAATTTAGCTTTATTTCATTTTTTACAATGGTTATTCTTGGTGTAACAGGATGTCTGTTTCATTTTGCTTCTAGATCACCCAGTTTGCTGGGGTTACCATCTAACTCGCTGTGTGGGGATTTAAACGCAGGATTGCAAGATTGCTAGATGATACCACTGCACCAGGTTTTAAAAATTTCCTTGAGAACAGAATTTGGATATCTATTGCTGTGAACTGTGGTGTCCATTTCTTAACAGTTTCAGTTTTGAAAACTACCAGGTAACTCTTCAACTGCCCAATTTTTTTTGTTTGTTTATTTGTTTTTTGTGTGTTTGTGTGAGTGTGTGCATGTGTGTGTGTGTGTGTGTGTGTGTGTGTGTGTGTGTGTGTGTGTGTGTGTGTGTGTGTGTGTGTGTGTGCGTGTGCGTGTGCGTGTGCGTGTGCGTGTGCGTGTGCGTGTGCGTGTGCGTGTGCGTGTGCGTGTGCGTGTGCGTGTGCGTGTGCGTGTGTGTGCATGCGGGTGTACAAATGTGCATGTGCGGGTGTGCAAATGTGCACGTGCGTGTGTACCTGCATGCTCCTGTGCTAGTATGAGTGTACGCATGTATATTTACAAGTGCACAAGCACCTGTGTGCATATCAATCTTACCAAACGAAATTGCTCCTTACCTTCTCATGTATATGTACAGCAGGAATGCCGATATGTAGAGCAACACCAATATCAGTGAAGGTAAAATGACAAACACAAGGATGGCAGGATACAGAAGTGACGCGACCCATCCTAGGTACAGAAGATCCAGTTGATTCCCTGAAAAATATTTGATAAATGCAAGATCCTTTATTTGCTGTCAATAATGTATTCAAAATTCAATTAATTGCATGATGCAGACAATATGACTATATGATCATTTGCTTAAAGTCAACCCTGTATTTAAAATACCATGTAAATATATGGTAAAAAAAAAATGAAGGAAGAATCTAACCACAAATACTCTCCATCTCTTATTAACAAAATATTTCTTTCATTTTAAAGAAAAATAATATCAAATAAAAAAGACATACATCTATACTCCAATTAACAGACATAAAAAAAAAAAAAATTCAAGAGAGAGAATCAGAAAAAATAAAATAACAATAAATAAACAAATAAATAAATAAATAAATAAAAAGCCAGAAAAACTATATAAACCTTACCTATAAAACTGCCAGTCGCGCTGGTAATGTTCAGAACCAAGGAACAGAAACTCGATGGATCTTCACAGTACATCAGCATGACGGATTCAGATTCATGTAGGTCTTAAAACGAGAGAGAAAAATGATAATCATTGAGCTTGCCACTTAACCTACGAAACAGCTATATAATGTTTGAAACAATTATTTCGAAAATCAGCACAAAAATAGCCTAGTCAGACAGAACTAAGTAAACAGATTAAATGATATATACATTCATGCTACATAAAAAAACTACATACACATATATTCAACAAATATATACATTTATATAATGAAAAATATAGTGACAGATAGGTACATAATGAAGGCACATAAATCATTCTAAATGATATACTACACATACTGCAAATTATAACAGATTTCCAAGGAACTTATTAAAATTTTAAAACTTTTTAAAAGCTCTGCTGTAACAACATAACATTAACAATAAAGTGTTGTATCATATAATCATGATATACAGCATGATAGTAAATATGAATAAGAACACATATGATGAAAAAATACTAACAAACAAACACTAGAACATAATTAATTTCCTTTGTAAAAGAATACACTAAGAAGAATCCTTACCCCCCCAAAAAAAATGGCTGTAGATTCGCATAAAGTGTAATGAAATTTGTTCAGTAATAAGTTGATCTGTTGATTCATTATAAACACATCTTTATCATTTTCTCATTTATCTTTATTAGTTATTTATCTTTTCATAAATCTTTATATACCTTTATCTTATTATGTCTCACCCGTTTACCCTTTTCCTTGATTTACAAAAATATTATATGTTATCTTCTTTTGCTGTTACCAATGTTTATAACTATATAGTAATTATGTCTCTAATAAAAATAACATCCATGATATTCATAGCCTTAGTAAAAAAAAAATAAAAGACTCCATTGTGGCTAAGCACTAACAGAGCCATATATGTGCAGATTTCAAAAAAAAATAAAATAAATAAATAAATAAAAATGAGCACAGCATTTCCCCGGCAGCACAGGGTTAAACCAATAGTGCGAGGAAATAATCATAGCACCCATCTGCTATACGAGGATTAATACAAAGGACAAACACAAGACAAAATTAGACATGCATGGCAATTTTTTTTCCCATTGTCTTTGATTCTAACCAAGCTTTTTTCTTACTTTCTATTTTTGCTTTTTTTAAATACAGGTTTCGGCGGGTACTGGAGGGATGTTGCTCAAGAACGAGCAGGGTCAAAGGTCATGAAACATGCCTTTATAGTATGCAGAGAGCGAACAGCCTCGGTTATCACAGCATTCATTAATATTTTCTTATACAATACATAATGTAAACTTCATATATTCATTTATGTATTTAACCCACTCACCACACATTTATGTACTATCCTCTGTAGTTTATTGTAAATTTTATTACATAAAGACGGATTCCAGATGTACTTCGCTGACAAGGAATTTATCAGGAGGGCCTAATGACCCCTCGTGATTTCCCAATTCCTTGAAATTGCGGGAAAATGTGTATTTTTTTCCTAAGGCTATTGATAACGATACTGTTACTATTCTTATCTATATTCTAACAATTAAATTGCTATTAAAATCTTAGACACACTAAAGATAATAATATAAGAGACACATCCCAAAAATCAAGGAATAGGGTAAACAGGTGAGACAGGTAGGACTAATAACGGACTCCTTGGTGACTAATAACTTGTAGAGCCATCTTTGTGTAAATACAATTAATGAACTTGCATTACATTGCGCATGGCATGTATTCTTGCCATTAGTGACAATTGGGTTAATAATTAACTAACCTTCTACCTGCTGCATAAGTAATATATTCTATTTACAAACACATACACAAGGGCATATACTCTGCAAAAAGGCAAATATTCTAGAAGAACACCTGTGTATCTGCCACTGGCCCCATGCCAATCACCGCAGTCTCCGTTTCTGATGGCCGCTGGCAAAAGCCAACAGACCCTCCAACATTCATACTCTGACAAGTTCTGTCTTCCCTGGATATTCTGGTTGGAGGTAGCCCTTGCCAGAGCGTAATATATGGAGGCTGCGGCAGTCGTCTAACCCAATCACAACGGGAGCCCCAGTTGAACAACCTTCACGTTGCATGCAGAGTCAGCTGCTCGAGGGAAAAATCAGAAGCATGGGAAACAAAATTACTCCTCTCTCTATGCCCATAACTGCTGCATAAATCCTCATAAATAACGAAGCCAAAAAGAGGTTATAAGCCTATATTTGAGAGGCTAGTTCTCCTCATGAAACGCAGCCAGGGCCGAACATGTACACAACTTTTATCGTGCACAACATAGCCCTGGCTCAACTATACATGATATCATCCTAATATGAGAAATTATCAACCATGGCGTGACAGGACTTCATCCCAGCTTGGTGTGATTGGGTTAAAGCTGCACCAATATCGCAGTGGACTTATTGTAGGCCATCCATCACAGGACATTGCAATTTTTAAATCAATTTAATTAAAAACATAGCTAAGACAATTACAAGAAAATCAAATGTTTTTTTGGGTAAATCTTCAGAATACCTTCGCATGATCGCTCAGAAGAAGGTATTCCGAGCGATTACACAAAGGCTCCACAGGTATCTTCTAAATATTTTCTGAAGAGCAGACTACCACCACATTCAGTTACATATGAAATGCTCAAAAACTCTTAATTAAATGACACGTAGAGTTCCACATTCCGCAATCTGTTCTTTAATTGGCTTTCATACTTAACCGAGTCATCAAAATGTTCCTTAATCATCTAATTATGTCTTAATAATCTATTTCTCACCTACCTTCTCTTTCTCATCACAACTCTTATCATTTTTTTTTTCTTTTCTTTTTTTTTTACATTCCTGAATGATTTCTCATGAGGCCAATTATTTCCTTTTATTTCCGTTGCCTTCTTTAATATTTCACTCATGTTCTAATAATCAAAACACAAAACACCTTGGGAAAAATACAATAATATGCCCCCAATACACAATGAAAATACACTGAAGAGCAATAAATAATAATAATAACAAAACAACACGTATTCAAATACCTACCAATGCTATTTCACTCCCTGCAAAGAATAGGAAAAAAAACAACAAAAACACGCTTTATCTTTAAAAAATACTAACCTCTTTTTTACTCTCAGCCATAGACATCCTCCACAGCTCCTCAGAGTAAAAAAATTAAGTCCTGAAATGCGAACTTAACGGAGATATTTAAGGTTTTTTTAAGTTTAAAGAAAGAGACACACGAATCTGCTGCCGATGTTGCTTTGCGGCGTCGATCAGCTGTGTTGACGTGGGGGGGAGGGGGGAGGGGGAGGAAGGGGGGGGAGCGATCAGCTGTGTTGACATGGGAGGGGGAGGGGGAGGTGAAGGTGGGGGAGGGGGGAGAGGGGAGGGGGAGGCGATGGTGGGGGGAGGGGAGGTAAAGGTGGGGGGGAGGAGGCGGGAAGGGTGAGGTGAAGGTGGGG